CATGAAGCACCTTGGATAATCTCCAGAAATCAATTTAAAGGGTAATAAAATAATTGCTGACGTAATATTTTCCCTATAATTATTACAAAAACACAAAATAAGTAAAAATAAGTATTTATATTTGTGTACATGCTGTTTAGATTGTCAAAAAGCCTGTGTTTTTAGGGTTATTAAAGTTTGTGTACTCAGACCAGTAATATTTGGGGTCACAAGTTTTTGCCATGGTTATTTTGTGGGTCAGAAGATAAAAAGTTTGAGAACCACTGCATTATCTGACAACTGATCTTTACATGTCTGATTGGTAGAAAGATACTGCAAAGGTTGTGCACCATAACATGCATTTCAGTCCTTGTAACTTATTTGTTACCAGTTTGAAAAAGGTCATGTACGCCTGAGTACTGAGTCTGCCACACAAGGCCAGCGTTAGTGAGCCTGTCTGTTTGCTTCTTTCGTGATGTGCTTTTCTCTTTGAAATCCGTTTTGACACAAACATAAAGGCCCACTGCAGAGTATTAGTCGGGGCTTACAGCTGGATTTACTCACCATCGTGCACAATTACTGTTACGCAAATCTTGAAATCATCACCCTGTCAGCAAACTGCTGCTCAGCTGTCTAATTATAACACACAGGTCACTGGAAGAAATGTACCAAAGTTCATCTGTGGAATAAGTACAAATGGGGATGCTAAATTAAACTGAAGGCTTCATTGTTGCTAATGAGTTTTCAAAACATACAAAAATATAACTAAAATTTTAAAAAAAGACTACAAAATTATATAAAAATTAATTTAATTTAAAAATCTGTTTTTGGAAGACACTGAAAATCGTTCAATATCTGCATCAATTATACAATAAAAACATTTCTAAAAGCTAGAACTTACCTTATTTAACTAGAAAAGATGATTTTGAGACTCACTTTAGGTGAGCTAAATAATACTTCTGGACTGGCTCAAATAAGCCTCGGCCTATAAATACCCCTGACCTGATTTGGCTCACCAGATGTTCTCCCAGAACAGCAGGTCTCCATGAACAAGTTACTAGAAAACGTTTTGTCGACACATCAAACTTCTCATTAGATACTAAATGAGGTTGGGGTGGGCGGACACATTTGTATAAAAATCATCAGGATGATTTTCTTCCTCACAGCTGTTTTTATTCGTTCAACATCTCACATTACAAATACTTCAAATGTATGCATACAGTTACAAACAGTTGGCAGCAAATCAACGTGTGACTTTAGGTCTTTGTTTTACTTCAATACTACAAACCAACTATAAAAACTGATGCCTGTATTGTAGCGTAAATAAATCAGGAGGAAAATATAAAAATCGAAACTTACAAACAAATGTGAAATGACTTAGTAAAAATCAAAATCAAGTAAAAAAAATAAGTAATAAATATGACCTTCCCAGCATTCAATTAAAAACTATTGAAAATTTCCAATCGAGTCGTACTAAGACATAATCGATATTCTTTTTGTGTGAAAATGCAGAGCACGTTACAGCAATTAGAAAAACTAGACAGAGTTCAACACTTCATCCCCTCCCCCCCYCAAAAAAAAAGTTCTGATCAGAATGATAGACATTTCAATTGAAAATATAGCAAATGCTAAATACGTAGTCGAACTAGTATATACAATGTTTTCAATCACAGTAGCATGGTAGTAGCAAAATAAGTCAATAAGCACAAAAACTAAACGCTTACAAAATAAATTCTAGTATAATTTTTTYTCTCTCTCTCTCTTTCACAAACATAATGAACAAGAGGAAGTCGAAATAAAACGTGTAAAAAGACTGCATGATTTGTACGGTCAGAATGATTTAAACTGCGGAGAACTGTTTCTGAAAAGAAGAGTTAAGTATTGCACATAATGGCTCAAAAGTTAACTTGCAACATTTAATAACATTCAGATTATGTCCCAAAGCATGCCACATCACAGAAGGAGGGGAGAAGGGGGTGTGGGGGGTCAAGTGATCGTGTCTCCTCGTGTACGCTTTACAGAGTGTCCTTTATGTTACAAAACACATCCAAAGTGTTGCCACGGTGTGTGTGTGTGTGTGTGTGTGTGTGTGTGTGTGTGTGTGTGTGTGTGTGTGTATTGCATAAACATCACGTTTGTGTCAGGAAGGCAGACTCCGTTATGTAAAGAGAGGCTACAAGAGAGGAGAAATCTCCAAGAGAAGGAACAGAAAGTTGGAAAGGAGATCTAGTGCATTACGTTAGGTCCTGCATTATTATCACTAGCCATGTTTTATCTCTTACGCATGCCGAGAAGAAGTTACAGGCAGTTTCAGAAAGAAGAGCTAATTAAAAAAATAATAATAACAATAGATTCAAAAACAGCAGATATCCACTCCGGTTGTAGAAGATTTTTACACCGACCAAAACATTTATTCTAATGATAATCTTACAGACTACACCTAGGAGCAAAATATCACCTTATTTATACTCAAGACTATCAAAATCAGTTTAGAAAGGTCTCGCCATGCCTTAGGATCCTGTAATAATGTTTATTAAGAGAGAAAATGTATACACGACTGGCTAACCGTAGCCTCAGTTTTTTTTCTGCTTATTTTCAAATCCACAGAATCGCAACCAATGCACCAGATGATTTTTCTGATTTACCAGCACTTAAATATATAAAAGCTAATCGAAAATTATATTAAATCACCTTTTTTCTCTTTTCTTTAAATTAAATTTACAATAAATGCAGATCTCTTAGTAACAAAAGGTACAAAATTATTTTTCCACCAAGTGAAAAAAATGAGGTATTGCAAAAGGAGTTCTCCCATTTTGTGAAAAATGTGCCTAAAATGACTATTGAAAAAAATATTTAGAAAAAGTAGTGCATAATAAATGTATATATGTTCATGACAAAATAATCGGCTATAAAACACTGTACAAAAATCAGCAGGCCATGTATAAAATAATATCTTTTTTTTTTATCTCTGTGACAGTAAATTCAAGCTACTACCATGTCCAACCACAACAGGCGTGTGGTAGAAGCTGCAGTCAGTCACAGCAGAGCGTGCAGTGGTACACCATGAGGACAGCTCAGGGAGACTGGACTGTGCATTCCCATTAGTTAGTACTACATTAGCATGTTAGCTTCCAGTGCTAATATCCCTGACGATATAAAGTGAATAAATACTACTGCCAATACCTGAGCCCTGAGGGCTGTGTCTCAATATCAGCTCAAACCCAAACTCCAGCCTTTCCTCTGTTCGACGATGAGGTCAACTGAACAGAAACCCCTCAGATCAAGGATCAATAATAGGTTCTAGGCCAATCTTTGGTTTGCTCTTTCTGGTTACAAAGTGTTGACGTGTACACCGAGACCTAAAATGTCGTGCCGACAATCTAAACGCGTGCGCCAAACTGAGGGGAGATTTTGTTTTGTGACGTGGCCAGATGTTGTACATTAATCTACTTGAAAAACTGAATAATCCATCCATCCTAAACAGAGTTCCAACCGTTTCCACTCAACCTTTGGTAAATGTCATCACCGTTTACCAGGTCTGCAAGCAAAAAGAAAATAATAATAAAAAAAACAAAAAGAAAATGCACCTTTCTTTAAACTCAACTTCCATAGTTCGTATACTGATTTAAGTATGATGAACCTCAAAAGTACAAATGTAAGCAGCTTCGCCAACTAAAAAAGGAAAAGAAAAAATAAAATAGTACACTCAGGTAAGAAAAACCTAAACATATAAATTCAAATCTAACGCATCAATATGCTCATGCACACTTGCAGTCAAAACATAAATGGGATTTTACTCTTTTTAGCAGTTACTTCTTTTAGATGGCTCAATTTAAAAAAATAAAAAATAACTTATTATTTTTATTAACTTAAAAGAAAAGTGCATCATTTTCCGTTTCAAAGGCCCATACCCCTGCCCTAATTTTCTCGTAGCCCCCTCCCCGCCCCCCTCCCCTTCCCCGTTTAGCTTTAGTTCCAGCGGAAGGAGATGTGTCGCGGTCGGTCCCCTCCCTCCTTCACCAGCGGCTTGTGGAACTCGCGGCCGGCCCGAGAGTGGATGGCCGCCCAGCAGTACTCACAGTAGTACTGCAGACACGTCACGTTGGCGCAGAAGAAAGGGGCGAACTTCCCCCCACAGCGAGTGCCCTGGCACTCATCACACAGCTGATCATCCAGGACATATGGCTTCACTTCCACCTGACGGAGGAGGAGGAGGATGGAAAAGGGTCAAAATGGAGGCAGGGAACATTGGAAATCTTGAACTGCAAAATGGTGGAACAGCTTACAGCTGCAGTCAAGTTTACATACATCCACAAGCATTAATGTCATTCACTTCAGACCTTTTAATTACTAAATTTGAATCATTCGCTTCCAAAGTAAAATCATTATACAGGGTGAGTCAAAAGAATCAGGACACTCTTATTTCAGAAACATAAGAGAAAATGAAATATCTGAATAACCGAGCAAGTAACGGGTGAGGGGCGTTTATCTTTTAAGATGTATCTGGAACATGGCCACCATTTTGAAAGCCACCATACTGGACCAAACTTACATTTTTCCAATGGGAAGAGGATCATGTAGCATATCATAGAAAACCAGTATTGTCCCAGAAATGGATTGTTGTAATCAGATGTACAAATATCTCTTATAGTTTATAAGTTCACACAAAGTTCAAAACCTTTGTTGTTCATCACAGGAAATCGAAGATGGAATTGATGAAAGCTCTGTTCATATTCGTGAGCCCTCCTCCTGCTGTGAAAAAGTCACTAAATTAACTTTTACTTAAAGCAAATTTTTAGTGACTAACTTTTCTTTGAGTAGATTTTTACACAGACAAAATTACTTATACTAGAGTAAATTTTCAACTAAGTTACTGTACTTTTACTTCAGGATGTTATTTTAGTATTTCTTCCACCTCTGTTCATTATCACTAACAAGTTCAGACAGTTTAGAACTCTCTGCGCCACTTAAAAGATTTTTAGGTGAATCATTGTCTAACTGAACCTGTATATTTCAGACCTTGTGGGAATTACAGAAAATTTAAACTTGTGATCGTTATTATTTTAAAAATCATTGAACTGTGCCGTCATTCCTTTTTTGAACTAGAACAATTAAAAAAAATCATAAAAGCACCAATTAATATGACATTAATGTTAATAATGAGTGAATGTAAATGTCCTGATGCATCTCAGTAATCCAGGTAGAAAAAAAAAAATCAAAAAGAAAAAATAAGTAGGTCCTCTGGATGGGTTCAAAAGGTGTGAATCAGGGCCCCAACGATACAAACACAAAAAGGGTAAGAGGGACAAAAACAAGGGGAAGTCGAGCCCCGCCTGCATTCACTACACACACATAACACGACACGGATCACGTGATGGGGCACATGACCCTCTATGAACAATAGAACTAATCAAACCTATTGTTAGTCGATGGCCCTCTTTTGCCTATGACTAACCTGTTTGTCCATGTGGACGCAGTGCTTATTAGGCTGAGTTCACCTGAAACTCAGACTGAAGAAGTCTCTCGGAGGAGAGACGAAACGTTTCACTAAAGAACCCATCCAGAGGACCTACTTATTTCTTCTTTTTGAGTGAATGAAAACTTTTGACCATAAATGTAGCATCAGATCAACTCACCCGTTTATCGATCTCCCCATGCTGCAGCTGAACAAACCGGGCGCTGATAGCCGCAATGTAGCTTTGCTGATTGGAAAAGGCCACCCTGCCTGCACCTTTTGGATACTTGAGCTCTGGGTCCGTGTCGATCCCAGCATAACACACTCCYCCATACAGACGATCCATGATCATGGCAAGCTCAACTGGAACAACAAGACATGGTGAAAACCTAAGTCCACTGAAATGCAGTGTGGTTTTGGGTTCGCTTCAATTATGTACCTGCACGTAGGGGACGAGGAACACCTCCAACAAAGATGGTCTTCCTTGGGTCCAGTGGTTGAGAGCCGTCCATTACAAAATCACTGTCGTTAAGGTTCCAGGGCCGAATCTGAACCTGTAAAAATTTAAATTATAAACAAATAAGACGGAGTAGGCCGATGTCCGTTTGAATAGTAAATGTTTAGAGTTTGAGGAGGGAATACAACTAAACATTAAAGATTTTGGTGCAAAACATTTGAGTTCGTAGGAGTTAAACTGTGTATAAGAACACATTAGGTTTATATTTTTCTTGTCTGAGCCGGCACAGAGTGATGGATCCTGGCAAACAAAGAAGGAATTTTATCCACCACCAGGTGAAATGGTGGAGCCAGGGGGTGGTCAGTGGTGGACATTGGCCACCACATATTAATCTTAAGCCACTTCATTAGAGGACACTAATTTTAAGATATATAAAAACTAGAAAGTATAGTGTCCTCCAATGATCAGGGTGGCTGGTTTACATACAGTCCCATCCAAAAGTACCAAGTCAAATTCTCTTGTTTTTTTTGTTCACTGAAAACATTTGGGTTTAAGATCAAAAGATGAACCCGAGACAAGAGTTCAGAATGTCAGCTTTTATTTTCTGGTATTTACATGAAACAATTTAGGTTATATCACTGTTTGAATTACACAACAGCATTTTTAGGTGAGCAAAAGTAAAAGAACAAATAATCTTACAGTAAATAACATTTAATATTTGGTGGCATAATCCTTGTTTGCAATGACTGCCTCAAGCCTGGGACCCATTGACATCACTAAACTGTTGCATTCTTCATTTGTGATGCTGTTCTAGACTTTTACCATAGCTTCTTTTAGTTCTCGTTTGTTGGGGTGGGGGGTTCTTCCCTTCAATGTCCTCTTCAGGAGGTGAAATACATGCATTGGGTTAAGTTCAGGTGATTGACTCGGCCAAAACCTTACACTTTTTCCCCTGATGAAATCCTTGTTTTGCTGGCAGTGTGTTTTGGATCATTGTCCTGCCCCATGATAAAATTCCTCCTGATTAGTTTGTTTGCATTTCTCCGTAAACTGTCAGACAAAATGTTTCTGCACACTTCAGAATTCATTCTGATGCTACCATCATCAATATTAATGAGCCTGTTCCAGAAGCAGCCATGCACGCCCAAGCCATGACAGTACCTGCACCATGCTTCACAGATGAGCTTGTGTGCTTCGGATCATCAGCAGTTCCCTTTTCTCCACACTTTGGCAGAGATTAACCGTGGTCTCATCAGTCCATAAGATTGTCTTCCAGAACGTTTGGGCTCATCTCTGTACTTCTTTGCAAATTTCAATCTGGCCTTCCGATTCTTATTACTGGTGAGTGGTTTGCATCTATATTTCTGCTCTGAGTCTTCTTCGAACAGTGGATTGTGATAACATCACCCCTGCACCGTGGAGGTCATTGGTGATGTCACTTACTGAAGATTTAGAGGATTTCTTCAAAGTTTTCACAGTATTTCTGTCATCAACTACTTTTGTTTTCTTTGTCTATAACCTGTTCGACGTAATTTCTTTCTTATTCAGGACATTGTAGGTCATTGTGCTTGCCATGCCCAATGTTTGTCCAATGGCTCAAATTAATTTACCTTTTTCTCTCAGCTTTTCTCCCATAGACAGCTCTCTGGTCTTCATGTTGGGTTATCCTCTTTAAAAAGAAATACTTACATTATAGGCTTAAACCAGGTCAAAAAGTAGACTAGTCATGCAGAGCTATTTAATGTTTGAACAATCAGTCTTAAAGGAAACACCTGTCAGTCACATGTTCCAATAATTTTGCTCACTTGAAAATTGGATGGGTACAAACTAATGGTGGTCTGTTCTGAGTTGATTTACAGATATACATGTAAATATTAGGAAATATTAGCTGACATTCTGAACTCTTGTCCCGTGCTCATCTTTTGATCTTAAACCCAAATGTCTTCAGTGTACAACAAAAACAAGGTAATTTGACTTGGTGTTCAAATACTTGTGGAGAGGACTGCATACATTTATGGTGGTAGCCATCTTAGATTTTAAAATGGTAACTCAGTTTTCTATAAGAACATTTTAACACCTAGATGCAGTCACCTCCCACGAAGGAAGTATGTGCTTCACTTATTTTTCCACGTTTAGCTCAAAAGATGGATAGAGACTATTTCCAAGTCCCGTCTTTATGCCACGACAGGGAACAGGAACATTTCAGTGTTCTAATTGCAATCATAGACATAACAAGCATGCAAGCTGTCAGTGGTACAGCAACACACTCACAGGCTTGTCTTTAATAGTGGGGCTGGAGACACACAGGTAAAGTTTGCCATCTTCTTGAATGCAGGCATCAATCAGAGCCTGGACTGAGCTTTCATCTTGAAACAGCAGGAACGCATATCCTAGAAACAAGACACAAGCAGAGCAATAAGCATGAGCAGAAATCACACCACTACACTGAGACCAACATAATGTTTGACTCAACTCACCTTTGGGTGGAAAATAGGACTTGCTCTCTGCCTTGTGAGGCCAGTCTACAAACAGATGTCCAAATCTGCGGAAACTGGCAGTGATTTCATCTGAAATAAAAGAACTCTGAATCAGAAACACACTGAGAGATCAACACTATTAAAACGAGTATTTTTACTACAGCAGCTGTAGACGAGATCAAATCAAGAAAAACTCAAACTTGTGAAAATGTGACAGCCCATGTAATCAATTTTTAACCATAAAAGAAAAAAGTACTGGTCTTCACCTTCGTCTATGTCTGGGGGCAGCCCTCCCACAAACACCTTCCTCGAATAACGCTCAATGTGTTCACCGTTGAGGTGGGGGAAACAGTGTGCAGAACCAAGACTAGCGAGGCCCTGGTCACTGGAATTATCCTCTCCAAAAGAGCGCTCATCCTCCATGGGGAACAGAGACGAATGACCTGATCAGGGAAAAAAAAAAAAGATCTGGATTACAAATAGTGTCTTATTACAAACAAGGCTGAAAAGAATTCTTATTTTGACAAAGAGCATGGAAACTATMAGATTGATTTGAATGAAAACAAATTAAAAATTTTCTAAAAAGAATTCCAAGAAGCAGTCATGATAGCCACTTTAGATGACTAGGTAAAAGCAAGAATGTTATTACTGCTTTGGTAAGAAACCTGAAATACTGTAAATTACAGCTTGCAAATAAAAGGGGGTTCAACATTTAAAGGCAGAATAAATCACATAAAAATGAATAAATAAAATCAGGCAGACAGACACAGAGGCAGAACAGAGTGATCATGCCGTATCAAGACACATTCACAAGCTTTACCTCGTCTCCTGCCATAACTTCTTGCTGCATGTAAAACAACACAAGACACTCTTGAAAAATCAGGCAGCTTAAAACAGTTTGTATAACACCAGCAGGGCTTGAACTCTATCTGGGTCACAAGCTGAAATGGCTGCAACTCCTAAAAGTAATATTAGCATCCTTTTCTTACTTGAAGCACCAATTATGGTTATTTACCACAGTGACAAATATGCTTGCCTACCGAGCAGCATGACTGGAGTGTTTTTCCTTTAACTCTGCCAGAAGGTTTGACTGATGGTTTGTTTTAGTTCTTTGCAGCATTACTCACAAACCAATAGACATAAGTGAGCATTTTTTTAAACCTAAGGTGAGGAATGAACTACAAATCAGATGATCTGAACTTATTGTTAGTTATTTTTATGGCCTACATGTCRAGTTGCAGTCTTGGTAGTGCTCTTGCACAACTTGTTTCAGGTTTTTAAGTACAAATGTCATAGCCAGATTATGCAAGTTGTTGTATTTTTTTTTTTCAAAATCTAATTTCCATCCACCATGCTAAGAGGATTTAACAAATGCCTGTCGATTTTATCTGCATTTGGCAGACACGATTTTCAAGCTCTGACTTGGCTTCAGTGTYGCATGTTAATTTACATACCATTCATAGGTAGAGGCACATCCCCACCCTGATGAGGGAAGCTGTAGCGTCCTAAATGACAAAAATTTAAATAAATAAATAAATCTAATAAATAAATAAATAACAGTGGAGGCCTCAGAACATAAAGCCATGACACAACGCCCAACTCTTACAAACAACTACCAAAACCATGATCAGGTTATTTAGTACAATATACACACTAGACTACTCCAAAAACGTGTGTGTGAGAAGCTCAGTTTGACATAAAAAAAAGACAATGTAACAAAGAAATCACTATGAATATACAGACTTGTTTGGAAACTTAAAACTGTATGAGCTGGCTCAAGCTAGATTAGAAAAAAAAAATCCATTGCGCTGAATTAATTTAAGCTGAAGTGTTTCATTAACAACCATTTAAAGAGGGGTTAGCAATGCTTCGAGCCTGCAAGTCATTATTCTCACTGTGGAGTTGAGAAATCAAGTCTATTTCTCCCTCATATATTAAATAATATCTTCATTTTTTTGTTTGCTTTCTTAATCAGAGTTTTTCTGTTAGAGAAGAACAAAACCCTCAAACAGAATAAAATTAAGGTTGTGACGAAACCCTCTGTGTTCAAGAAGCCCTCAAAAAAAATGGCCGACTTAGCTTCAACACACAGAAAACAGTGGATAAAGGGACTACTTAACTTCTGTATATATTTTATACCAATTGTTTTTCACCTTTATACTAACTGGGATCCCTGAGGTTCATTTCAAAACACTGGAGGGTGTGTATTCTCACTGTTTCATATTTCAAGTTATTTATTTAGATTAATTTGCAAAACCTACAGCACGTTATGTTTTTATTTGGATTTTCCATCAAAACATGGCATTAAAAGTAAACCAGATGAAGCATCTAATTCAGAAGTGAGAGATATTTTGTTTCCAGAGGGACAGTCAGACTTTGGTAAAACAATTTAAGGCGACGCATTTGAATCAAAAACAATCACTTAAAGCAACTGTGCTTCAAGACAATGGGCCTCATGCAAGAACCGTTCGTACGCACAGATTTGTTCTTAAGTTGTGCGTACGAGTGATTTAGGAGAATTTGTGGCATTCA